AAATCCAGAGCCCTAAAGATGCAGCAAAGTCAAATGGTCTAGACTCTACAGGCTAGCAAACAACCCCTTTTTTTTTTTTTTTTTTTTTTTTTTTTAAGAACCCTAGACCCTAAAAGGTCTAAAGCATACAGTGCCATTAAGTGTGTCAGCCTGTCGTGTGAGGCTGACCCACCATAGCTGCATCATCTAGACCTTTGTGTTTTGTGTGCGGTATCTGGCTGGGGACTGTATTGCTGTAATCGCATTGCGATTTGTGAAGCGACTCGTTGAAGAAGACGAACCTGATTTCATGTGTTGGTTTGAATTCCACATCTGCACACTCACATGGACATGGATTATGCACGAGTGGGAGCTCTCCTTAATGACTGTGCCAGACTGTTCCGTCGGACTGTGTGTGTGTGTGTGTGTGTGTGTGTGTGTGTGTGTGTGTGTGTGCGTGTGTGTGCGTGTGTGTATGTGTCATATCACCGTTGTTTGTTACCTACCCACTAGGTTCTCTCTTTTTTTTTTTGGTTGAAGTCCACGTTGTTGTAGAGGCTGTCTAGTAGGCATATGAAAGGCCTGCCAGCACCTGACCATTTGATAACCCCGATGTATTGCCTAACCGGTACTCCACTAGGTTATCGAGCTGAAGGAGAGGAAGAAGAAAGAGGCATTGGCAGATAGAATTTATTCTCAGTATGAGGCTCGTGACTTTGAGAAATGGAGGAAGGATGAGGAAGCGAAAATGGTATGCTTCGCTACCCTTCATGGCTTATATTTGACTCTGACTGAATTTTGCTCCTTGTTCTCCACACCTCCCCCCCCCCCCCCAAGCCTCCATCCTGCACCCCAAAAGGGGAGGGCTAGCCCCTAGTCCCTAGCCCCCCCAACCCCAAACATGGTCGCATGGAGAAGCACTCAAACTCTTGATCTGTTTATCTATCTATCAGTGATTCAGTATCGTTCTGCCACCACGCACGCACGAACTGTCAAAAATCTCACAGCTTGAGTGAGATCTGACGGTTCTGTAGAAAACGAATCTGACAGCAGAACAGTGCGAAGGATTTGAAGAATTGAACCCTTTATCTGTTTATCAGCATCGGAACTGCCACCAGGCACAATCAATCTGTTTAAGGATCTCACTCTAAGTCAGCGGCTCAGCGAGTAATGGCTTGGACTCTTTCTTAGAAATGGTTCTGGGAGATTGTCCTTCGGGACATCCGTTAAAATTGGAATGATACAGAGAAGATTAGCATGGCCCCTGCGCAAGGATGACGCGCATAAATCGAGAAATGGTTCAAAAAAAAAAAAAAAAAAAAAAAAGAGAAATGGTTCTTGGGGTTCATATAATATCAGAGGCGATATAGGCAATCCCTAACATGCCTTTGGCCTCAGTAAGAGAGCATGCATCCCCTCCCATTATAGCGTCTTTCACTGGTTGCTGCGACCTATTGGTGGGGACTCTGGGAAGCATCACCTGGTGGAAACTGGGTCCAGCGTCCCAGCGTCCCATAGACTCGACACCGGGGCCATTACCCGGCCGGCGGTAGCTCACACACGCACTTAGGAAACACACAGAATCTTCAGCACCGGACTCCGACTCACAATTGTCACAAATGTAGCATCCTCACAGCTGCTGCATGGGCCTAAGGCCCGTTCTTTATTTTTCCTGGCCCCGCAGGCCGCGCAGCCCCTTTTCGTGGCATGACCTGCGTGGCCGTGGCCACCTTTTTCAGACACAAGGCTTGGTTCATTTTTTTTTGGGGGGGGGGTGCTTCGTGTCATTCGCACAGCATCATTCTTTTCTTTATTTTTTGTCTGTTCTATTTTATTGTGTCTGTTCCGGTGACGTTTTGGGTTATTGCTCTGTCCGAATGGACTTGCGCCTGTTCGGACCAGTAGATGTTGCCTAGCCCGAGTTTAGGCCAGATACAGTTTTGTCCTAGGTTTGGAACCTGGACGTCCGGTAGGGACCCAGGCAGTTCGTTTAGAGGTCCTAGAGGCAGGACCAGGACTTTGGCCTACGATCAGGGCCGCCGATCGCAGGATAGATCATACGGCCCAGATCATAGGCATTGAGACCCACCAGCAGACCTAGCCGTACTTAGCTAGGACCAGCTTGGGCATTCTGTCTTTCACGGTCGTGCTGGGTGACTGGTTGAGAGAGAGGATCAGTGTTAGGCTGCAGGACGGTTCTACGGGAGTTAGGAGGCGTAGAGGGCCGAGGCTGGAGAGCCTGGCCGTTGTAGGAGAGGATACTGACCTGTGCGGCGTGTGCCATATCTGAGCTCCACGCCAGCGACCCGCAGCAGAGGACATCATCTCGATGGTTAGCGCCCAGGCATCGTCGTCCATACCAGCCGGTGAGTCAGAGAGAGACACAGAGAGAG